ACAATCTCTGAAACTAAGTATCTCAAACTTTTATTAAATTCACTGTTTGTAAATTTTATTTAGTGTATAAAAGTTTATCTTAATTTGTAATGCGATATTTTAAAAATAAAAATCGGTTTAGCATTTGAAATTATTTACTATATTGAGTTATCAGTCTAGTATGCCAGTAAAATAAATAATCTACAATAGTTTCACCATATAATATAGTATAACGCGATAGTAGACCGATAAAAAATTCTTGTATTAAAAACAACTTATAAACGCATACTATAATAAAGTTTATTAAGATAAAATTTATTAAACATAGTAATAAAAAAATTTATATTATTTTGATTGTTGTTGATTAACATATTATCCTTGCTCAGAACACTAGCGAGTACTTTCGTATGCTTTATATTTTAAAGCAGTAACAGCTCGATTTAAATCATAAAAATATACTATTTTTTTTAGACCGATTAAACATTAATTTGATTCTTTCGACTTTTTTAATGATGAAAACTTAATCCATATCAATTTATTTTATATATTATTAAATAATTTGATAAAAAAAACATCATGACTTAAATTTGAAATAGTCCTACATCATTAAAAGTTACTCTAACTTAAGCAGTTCTATTATCCCCATGATTCACACACCTTAAATATTATATCGTACTTTACGAATAAATAAAAAAAGCGCTTAAATAGATATGAATATATATATTCATAAGTTAAATAAGTCATTGACAATTTCTAATTCTATTTCAAGTAATCCTCCTATTAGTCAATTTCTTTTCCTGCCTTAAGCTATATATACATATTCATCCCTGTTATCCTTGCTCCGTTGAATATATTGTTTTTCTAGTAATTGTTCAATGCATTTTTTAATCATTGGCATACTAGGATTAAATCGTGACTTTGCCTGATTAATGACCTCTTGTACTAATAATGGGTGTGTCAAGGATTTACGCGATTTCATCACTCGAACAATAGACGCCTAAATAATATTTAAAATAATAATAATAATAATAATAATAATAATAATAATAATAATAATAAATAATAATAATAATGGTAATAATAATAATAATATATTGATATTTGTATTTATTTTTTACCTGCAAATAGAGTTTACGATCTTCATCAACTGATCTTCGCGTAGCATCATTTTCTTGGTGTGTCTCAGTTTGTAACGAAGAACTGATTTTGATTTTATTACGTTTGCTATGATATTAATAGGTTATATTAGCAATTAATTATTATGAAAATTGTTTTTAGACAAATGAATATAATAAATACTTTGTAAATTCCATATTTAGTTTAATTTCTGTATCATCTTGCAATGTTCCGGGCGTTGAAACCAGAAATACAGATAAGTCAATCATAGGCTACGAAACAAGTTTGATTAAATAACGTATAGAACAAGTTCTTATTTATTTTAAATAATTACTGTCAACGCTCACCTTCATGACCCTCTTCAACTCTAAATCATTCAACCCCGTATGTTCACGTATGTCTCTAAATGAATATGCATCTACGTTATTGAATAATAGTAGAACACCGAGTTGGTGAAGAGACACTGAAAACTCGTAACGTTTATCAAGATAATTCAACTTCACATCAGCTGAAAAAAAGCAAATTGTTATATTAAAAGTAAATAAACCATATATTGTTATTTATACTACTAGATTGCACACCTTTGGATAAATGCCATAACCATGTCAATCTTCTGCCAATATGGTGACCGTTGTAAAATGTCGAAAAGTGTGAAACATTTCTTTCTAACTATGTTATAATAATTATAATAATAAATCTTTAGTTTAAAGATCAGTTAAATACTGAATAAATTTATAACAAGTTACCTCTGTCGGTAATTGAAATTCTGTCATTGAAGACTGCGTTAATGGCCATGCACCAGCCGTTAGAACCAATATGGAAAAATCAACTGGCGAACCTATAATATATATATTACTAATGATTTAAAATTATGTATTTAACAATAAAGTAAATACTTACCATTTTTCCCATTGATACTATTCTTTTTGGTATATTCAGAAAATTTACTGTTTATTTCCGCGCTAATCGTAATATCAGTAAACATCTTTTGCAATTTACTAGTGTATTCCACACCACACGCAATCTTGCATATAACATAAATGGTTAACATGACACATAAAAAGCATTAATATTGTTGATAAATAATTGTATCTATTTACCTTTAAACGTGTAATCATATTAACTTCTGCTTCATCAGATGCAGAATTACCATATATCAAACGCTTGGCAAGCATTCTTGAATAGAATTTTTGATACACATCCTTGTCATCGATATATTTGAAGAGAACAATCTGAAATAAATAAATAGTTTTAATATTCATTTAAATGATTTTTGGTAAGTGAATAATCAATATAAATATGTCAAAATGGTTTACCATTCGATCTAATTTATCCTCAATTTCTTGTTCACTAAATCCACCTTTATGCGTTTTCTTTAACAAAACATCGCAATAACGGGCAAGGACTTCGGGTGAATGGGCAATACTTGTGTCATTAACAATTGTTCTAAAAGCCTTATCTACGGCTGCGACAAATGCCGCATCATTAATAAATACTTTTTGACAAACGTTCATATATTTTATATGAAGATCCATAAGTGACTCCACATATTCTCTAGGATCCTATGCAAAGAACGTATAAAAATTTAAATACTTGAAATGGTGCGCTTTTTGATTTCCCATAAGAAAATTACCTTAGCTATCGAATTACCCATTCTCTCAATCAATCCTTTTCCAATGTTCGAAATATATCGTTCAAATATCTCCAACAAAGGATTGACTCCATTAGTTATACGTGATAAGAGATTGTAAGCCATAGTACAATCTGAATATATATATATTTTATTGAATAAAAGAAGTCACACTCAAACAATACGCATAATAAAACATTATATTTATCATACCTTCATATTTCTCATTGGAAATCATAGCTTCAAATTCGCCATGTATACGTGATTGATGTACAGCCACGTATTGTGTTTCGCACTCTCTGATTATCTATTTGTTTCAGCAATATAGTCAAATTAAGATAAAATATATAAAACGAATCACTACAAAATATAAAATCAACTCAACATACAATACTATGTGAATCGGGATGGCAGTACTTAAGGTTGCGCGCCACTTCTTGCTCTAATCTTTCATTGGCCTATTGCATAAAAAGATTAATAATATTATTACTTTGAAAGCATAAAATCCATGAGATTTCAATTATAATTATAAACACAATACCTTTTTCATATATTGAGAAATGTTATCATTTGATATCACATCAGCAGATTCACTTGCGTAATATTGTCGAGTTTTTTCCAAATATGGCTTTTCAAACACTTCATTATACAAATGTAATTGCTTATTATCGGTTAAAGTATTAAGTTCGACTAATTATAGAAAAACAAATTAGATAAAATAATGTAAAATTAATCACAAATAATGAAAATTAAATACCGAGAGATTTAATTGCATCTGCAACAACATTAGGTACTGTATCCTTTCCGTCCCTATCTCTTCTGATCAGTTCGAATATCTGATACATAAGCCGATCAGAATGCTTCAACCTTATATCGTCAATGATTCGCTCTTTCCATATCAAGTACGCCAGCTTTAAATGATTTTAAACAAAAAAAAAAACAAGGAACTACTGAATTTCAATAATTTAATTTTTTAATAAAATAATAAATATGAAAATATTGACTTTCAAATATTTCTTGCAAAATACCAACCGCATGAATAGTTTGCCTTCTATATTTTCCATCTTCAACAGGATGATGCCTGTCTGTCCCGCTACGACCTTTAGGATCTTTTCTCAATATAAGTTTGTTAAGATAATCACATATCTTGCTAGAAACGTCGGAGGCAATCATGTAGTGTTCCCACTCTCTAGCATATGCACTGACTACATCATCATGGTCCAAAATTGACTTAAAGAAGTATTTAATAAAATTTTAAACCAGATTATTAATGATCTATTATATAGAGATATTGAATCAAATAAACTCTGACCATTTATCATACCCTTCTGATTTTTATAGTATACTGAGTCAAAAAGTCGGCGATCGCATTAAATAATTTATTTGTATGAGGCTTAGGAGATGAAGTACACATATCATAAACCAATCTTTTGTTAGGTAAAGATCTCAGTCAAAGAATATGCAAAAAAATTATTTTACAAATACAAAAATACAAGACAAGCTTTTTTCAAAAGGATACTGATACATATTCATTCCAGAAACCTGATCTAAACCCGTAAAATTGAACAAGCGTTCTAAATCTTGCTTGAATTCAGGAAAAGTTCTGTCAAACACAATTCTCTTCGGACGAAGTGACATCGTAGGAGAGTATTATCCGAAATAACGAAAAATTTAATGCATATTGTAATATTAAACTTCAGAACTTATAGAATATTCTAACAATCATGTGACAATAAATTGTATTACAATCATTTATTTTAATTTTACCGAATGAGGGATGTTTCGCAGTAGCTTTCAAAAAATTTCAAATTATTGAATTCAAATTCGTATGTCTCATTCAATTGGTGTCGAAAAGTATGCTAGCTGGAGTAAAGAAGAATTAATTGCAAAACTACTAAATTATGAGACTGGTCACCAAATTCAACGCGATTCTATTTTAACAACCAAAACCACGGTAGCTTCTATATCATGTGACAACACAACTCTTAAAAAACCTAGCAAAAAAAGTCCTCGGCCGTTTGATATATCAAAATATTCAAAGAGGCATATAGCACTCAAAATAGCATATTTTGGCTGGAATTATCATGGTTTTGCAGCGAATATTGACGAACAAAATTTTCCAACTATCGAAGGACACTTGCATTCTGCTCTCTTGCGCTCAAGAATGATATCGGATCCTACCAATTGTAATTTTTCTAAATGTGGCAGAACAGATAAGGGCGTTAGTAGTTTAGGACAAGTTATTGCTCTAGATGTTAGATCAAATCTTCCACGAGATTCTCCTCTTGTATTGCCAACTATATCAATGGATGATAACACACCCAAAGAGCAAGATGATGTTAAAGGTGAACAAAAATTGATTGAAGAAATTCCTTATATTGAAACACTCAACCGTTTACTTCCAGACGACATAAGAATAATTGCTTGGGCATCAATAAATCCTGATTTTAGTGCAAGACACAATTGTCGTTTCCGACATTACAAATATTTTTTTGTAAAAGGAAATTTAGACATTGATTTAATGCGCGATGCAGCAAATCGGTTCCTTGGAACTCATGATTTTCGTAATTTTTGTAAAATTGATGGGGCAAAACAGATCGATAACTTTGATCGTACAATACTTCATGTAGGTATTGATCTAGTACAGGATCAACAAAATTTTTCGACAGATGAATTTTATGTGTTTAACTTGAAAGGAACAGCTTTTTTATGGCATCAGGTTAGATGTATGATGGCGATTTTGTTCTTGGTTGGTCAAAAACTGGAAGAGCCTTCTATTATAAATGACCTTTTAGATATTAAAAAAACACCAGCGAAACCAATTTACAATATGGCTAGTGAGTTGCCTTTAGTATTGTACGATTGTCAATATGACGATGTGAAATGGTGTTACGGTCGAGACGATAATATGTTTAATACGCTTTCTAAACTTTATAAACACATTTACGAACAATGGTATGTTCATGCTACAAAATCTTTACTATTTTCAACATTATTGAATGATCTTGGCAATACGTCTTTGAAAAAATTTATTCCCCCTGGACAAGAATTACAAGATTTCACTACAAACATCGAACAAACGCTCAAAGAATTAGTTTCTTCTGAGATTAATATGTCATCTGGTAACTTATCGAACACTATTACTGGCGGCGGTAAGGAATTGAGAGTTCGAAATTATGTAAAAATTGCAAATCGTGAGACATGTGACTCAGTGGAAAGTAAAAATGAAAAATATAAAAGAAAGAGAATTAAATTAGAATGAAATATCAAAAATATTCTAAATTTTTAAAGTCTTTGAATATTATCGTCTCATTCGTTCAAGGTATTACTTATTCTTTTATACTATGATCTAAAAAGCTGATGATTCTGCATATATAGCCACCCGTCCTGGTTTCTCAATATGCGGAACTTTACCAAATCTTGGCAATGGCCATAGGATATATGTTACTTTGGCATTTATTAACCCCAACGGTACCTAAAATACCGACGACATAAAATTAGCGATATTTTTTCATATTAACACACATAAAATTGCATATAATATTATTTCTTGTTACCGGCCCAAAAGTGTTACTATCTTTGCTGTGATATACATCATCACCTTCAACCCAACAATGTCCATTCGGTATTCTTAAAAATTTATCTGGATATGGTGGCAGTGTGAAAACTGTATCTCCTTCTAAAGCTATGATTCGTTTGGTTATCACCTTATCTGGGTCATCTGGCGCGCTAAACCCATTCAAGATCTTTAATATAATACCAAAAAGGCGATTACATCAAAAATTCCATGAAATAGTTTATACACACTATAATGTTACTACATCACCCCTTTTGTATTTATGACTAATAGCGGCTTGACGATTCAATAAAACAATATCTCTAGTGAGTTTGTTTGAATCTGGATTGAATGTTGGCTAAGGTTTTATTCATGTTTTGTTAACATACACTCATATTTTAGGTCGGTTGTTTTTTTTTTGTTAAACGAGATATTGTCTTCGATAAAATATTTCACCTGCATAGATCGCCCGCTTACAGAGCTTATAGTGTATCCATGGTCTAAACTCCAAATTATTACAGGAATCCAAGAAGCGATACCGACACAAGCTCGGATCGTTGGGTAAGATGAAAAAAATCGTGACATAAAATCTAAAATCTGAAAAAATTGAATTTGAAGTTTTTGATTTACTACTAATTTTGGTTGGCCAAATACGAATCGGTAACTTTTTCATGTTTAAATTAACTATAAAAAGGTTTAATTTTTAAAGGTGGTTAGAAAATAATTTTTACACGTATTAGAATTAATTTTGACAACTAATCTATATCACATGGACGTGGTGACATTACGTAGCGGATACTCGTTATAACAAAGTAATTCTCTGGAACAATTTTAAAATTATTATTATTATACTATATAACGCTATAACGGATATCCATTATAACGGACAGAATTTTTCAGCCAGAACACTACGTTATAACGAGGGTGAACTGTAATTGGGTTTTGGAATTGGGATTTTTACATAGTTTAGACATAAAACCCAAACCCAAATATACAATATGTCCCAATTTTAAAAACTCAAATACTAATTAAATTTAGCATATCATATGTTATTTGAATTGACATTACTACATAATTTGGGTTTGGGAATTGGAATTTCTACATAGCTTAGACACACAGTAAATACTATTTGGGATACCTAATCCCAAGCTAATGGGTTTGGGTGGATCACTAGACCAGGGCCGATGATTTTCTGCATTTCACGGAATTCCGCAGAAATCATGGAATCAGGTCCTAAACACGGAATGCGTCAAGGATACGTAGCACGGAAGAATAAACAACACAGAATTCATTTACCCTAGGTGCCGCACAAAAAATGCGCGGCAGATCCTCGATTTTGATTGGCTAACGGCCGATGATCTTCGAAATTTTGGCCCGCATTACAAAATTGTTTACTAAATTCCGGCCGGAGTTAACTTTTTTGATTTTTTATTACAAAAATAGAAATTTTTAAAAAATAAGCACGCATTATAGTAAAATTTGCCCAGGGACAATTTTCACTTAATGGGCAGCTGCGATTTCATTAGTAAAAGTATGAGTAATTCCAGCTTGATTTTTAAGCCAATCAAAATCTAGGATCTGCCGCACATTTTTTGTATTGTCATGAGATCAGATTATTCAGGATGAAGAATTTTATAAGTGAAATATTGAGATCAAGTTTCGTTTTGGCGTTCATTTAACGTTAATCATTCATTTAAATACACGTACATACGTATGTATTTAAATTACTGTACAAATTCAACTATATCTACATTATCTTTCAAACTGGATAACTCTTAATCTGACTTCTTCAACTTGTTTACAAAATTTTTCCGTACAGGATTGTGTATGGTTAATAAGAAATTTATTATTGAAAATTTTTATTCTTTAAGTTTATGGTAGGGCTAGAACTATGGCAAAGAAAAAACTTGCACCAATTTTATTAGAAACAATTTGTAGGATGAAGGAGGCAGTTTATAGGGCGAAAATTTAAAAAGCGATTTTTTCTAAATTACTGTATATTACCATTACAGTGTATGTAATCTTTCGATTTTCGGACAAATGATTCGAGTTTTTTTAGTAATAAAAAAAACCCTAATGTCGAGGCGCATGGGACTCGAACCCACAATCCCCAGATCCGGAATCTGAAGCCTTATCCATTAGGCCAACGCCCCAGGAACACGATGGGTGCCCTTATAATCTTTTTATTTTAAATTTTTTCTTAAGTCTTGGTATACCTTTAAGATAATCAAATAAAGTCATTGCGGAAAATGTCGCGATGCCTATATCAGATATTATCTTTAACTTAATTTTTATAATATGCGCTTATTAACAGATAAAACATAATTGGGAATTAGACGATCGCGACATTTTTGCCATGACTTTGCCTTGAATACAGGAATTGATTGCGCATTATACATGACATTAAAAATTAGAAAACCCAATTTTTTAAAATACGCCAAAATACATAATATATAATAAAATTTTATGTGAATCATGGCAAGTATCGACATTTGATCACATACATTTTATCAGCAATGAAACAATAAAACAATAAAACACGCTAAAAACGAGAAATGATTTCATGTATCACTAAACTTCCCCTGCAATCGTGCAGCCTTAAACCTAGAGACCTTCTTGGGTCTCTCAATTGAATGCGGTAGTTGATTTTCATCCTGTAAATTAAAGTCCACAATATCAATAAAGTAATCGAATTATTAACATTATGCAGTTAACTTACTGAAGAGAGGCCTCCTTGTTGGGTAATAAATTTAATTCGTTTTTGATGATATTCTGACGCGATCTAAAATATGATCAAAATTATATAACAAGCTGAACATCTGATCAAAATCAAAATATACAGTGGAGTCGAAACGCTGACCTCTTTTTTCCATAATTCATCTTCTAAAACTTCGGCATCACATTCCTCCGGTAACGTCTCATTTTCTGTGACTGTAGATTTTACAGGATTATTTGTTTGCTCAATTTGTTTCACTTTATCTACTGGATCATTTTTTTGCTCAATTTGTTTCACTTTATCTACTGGATCATTTTTTTGCTCAATTTGGTTCACTTCATATTCTTCTAACGTTTCCTCGTCCTCTAAATGCTCGTCAGAATTCATATCATCATTCTGCTCAACTTCCTCCTCATATCAATATTTACCCATCTTTTGGTAAGCTAATCTACGATTGCTTAATGCCGTTGTTCAATCTTTAAGCGATTATAGTCGATTTTAATGACATATTTAAATTTCTAACATTTACTAAATATTCGATAAGTTTCACTGTTATCTTGAGTGCCTCAATTGATAAATAATCACTATATTCACAGGCTTGAATAAGCAAAATTAAATACATTGATTGATACCCATTTATTTATTAGATTAACGTGAGATAAAATAACTAAGAAATGAATAACCTATTCTAAATACCTCAATTATAAAATAATCATCATATTCATCTATTAAAAAGAAATTGAAATGATACATCGGGTGATAAATTACAGTAGAAATGAATAGCTTGATTTATGAATAATAGTTGTTGATTAAGTTGACGCGGATAAAAAAAATAAACAAATATAGATATTAGCAAATATCAAGAAAATGATACTGTCAACAAATTTATAGATAAGACAGCAAGAGTTATAAAAAAAACGATCATATGAATATTTGTTAAGAACTGGGCTTGACGACTAATCATTAAAAGTAGACGACTTAAGCTATTTAAGCTTTAGCTGTATCAGTATAGATTTGTCAATTCTTACATGACAACCATGTCACCTGGGTTACTAGAAACCCGGTTTGTGACCCGGTAATATTTTTATAAACGGGTGAGCTTTCTCTACACACCTAAATCACTGGATCACTGTACATCACCATTCCAGTGATAAAAAAATCTTCACTAGAACGTCTAGTTGACATCCGATTACTAGAAGCTATTATGCTTCCAATTCCATCCAATGAACTTATAGTTCCAGTAATTCCCACTGGAACGTTCCAGTAAACAACGCTGATTATTATTGTTTTGTTAACTATATGGGCTAAAGGGTCTCTAATAAAGGTCGCAATGAATAAAATTTTTGATCGATTTGATTGGCTGATGATCACGTTTTGATCTTCGTAAATTGGCCAATCATATGAATGTCGTCCTGCAGTATGAGATCACTGTCAGGGTTAGAGGTTGGAACCGGTTTTAAATATTCGAGTTTATCACATCAAAATTCGAGTTTATCACTCCAAAATTCGAGTTTATCACATCAATCATTAATAACTCATGTGATAAACTCGAATTTTGATGTGATAAACTCGAATATTTAAAACCGGTTCCAACCTCTAGTCAGGGTATCACTAGATTAGAATTTGGCCAATTAGAACGTTCGGAAATACATATATAAAGGACTATCTAAACGTTAATCGCCTAACATAAAAAAATGACAGAAACTACACAGAACACATTATCTTCAGAAGCAAAAAAATTATATCACGCAAAACTCGAGCGGGTTATTCTCAATACCTACGAAACCCTGACGGCGTGGAAAAAGTATGAAACCGATTATAACGCTTTGAAGACGACCTTGGAAGATTTATCTCAAGAAACAGAGTATAGAATTATGGTGAGAAAAGCTTCTTTTTTAACATTTCTCCTAATTACCTTTTATTTTCTTATTTTATTTCTATACTTCAGGTACCAATTGGCAGGCTTGCATTTATGCCTGGAAAGCTTGTTCACACGAACGAAATCTTAGCAATGCTCGGTGATAATTGGTTTGCTGAACGTTCAACTAAACAAGCCATCGGCATAGTCGATAGGAGATTGGAAAGTGTGTATTTTTTTGTACTTGTTGTGAAAAAATTGAACGCACTAGATAGCAAATATTTATCTTGTGCAGTCCATAATTTACAACAATAGATAGTCGTGAGTACATTATAGTTAGCAATCTATTATAATTAGTTTATATTTTTGAATTTAGTGGTAAAGAAAACTATAAATGATCTGGAAATTCAGCTTGAAAATCAAAAAACGAAGATCGGTTTAACATCCGATGTATTAAGATTTGCAAACATAGAAAAAGAGGTACCTTTGCTAAAATAATTAATTTGCTAAAAAATAACAATTTACATACGCGTCAGTTCTTAATGTATAGGTAAATGAGGAAGGGCTACCTATTGTAGAGATACAAGAAATTGAAGAGAATGAATTGCAAAGTCGAATAACAAAAGATGAAAAAAATAATTTAAAAAATAGCGAGAAACAAATAGGTCAATCACAAGGTAGCTTTACACGCTGCCATTATATAATACTTATTAATTAAACAAATATTTTGATAATGCCGATATAATTCACGAAAAAATTATAGCTAAATCCGATGATACCAGCTTTTTGGATAAGTTCCTGGCTGAAGAAGAGGAAGAATTGAGACGTGGAGAAGCATCAGAATCAAATGAAGAAAGTGAGTCTGAAAATGATGATGACGACGACTATGAAGAATGGGAGGAGGAAGTTGAGCAGAATGATGATATGAATTCTGACGAGCATTTAGAGGACGAGGAAACGTTAGAAGAATATGA